ATCATCATGGTAAAATATACCAGAAGTGAACTTTCGAATGATAACTGTATGGTTACTTTTATCAAGAGTTGGAATATACTGGATGTAAGTGACATTACTTCATTTGAAGCTGAACTAAGTCAACAACTAACCTAGGACGTTGATCTATCTTTGATATCCTAAGGAAGAGCTAATGATTGGACGGATTTCAACAGTTTGTAATTAGACGAGTTGATCAGTATCTCCTTTTTAAGATCAACCTATAAAATATTATTTTTCTGAAACTTTACTTCTAAAACTACAGGTTGTGAATAAAGTAAGTGTTTTGGAGTTGATACTTTCAGAATTACAAATCATTCTTGCTAACACAAGTAGCAACGAATATACAATCTTACTTCATAGCTTCCTAGAGACGTCTTCCAGTTAGTTTGCTTTGACTTATGGTTAATTTAACTTTAAATATTCATGTTAAAATACGTGAATTTCGTAGGATAAATAAATGTTTCCGGTAGATTGTGTTGCTTTCTAGTCGTCGTTCATTTGCGGCTTTGTTTCATCACGTTAACCATTATGTACAGTCGCCGACTGGGCACTTTAAAATTATATTTGTTTTTAGTAACTGTGTGTGTAATAGTATCGGAACTGTAATAATTAATATAGTAGTTTACTGAATGAGTTACTTTCATGAGTTTGGAAGTTTTTCAGTTGTAGTTAAAATGTTAAAAAGTAAAATGAGAGATGTTTTCATGATAGCAATGAGAAACATTTGCTTAAAGCACTATACGAAAATTTAAAATGAGTCTACTCAGCTCTTAGATGTATCAAAATTATTCGGCTTATTATAAAGATTTATAAGGATTCATAGGAAAGCCTAGGCTTACAATTCTTAATAAAACATTGTTACCAATGCTACATTACTACTCCAATAGACAGAATCTCAAACTATACGAAGATGTTTGGAATAGATGGAATGTGTATATTAGTAGTATTCAGGATGTGCATTTCGTCCTACTTGAGATCCGTCAGCTGGACGTGCCTGGATAATCCAAAATATTAAAAGTTAAGTTAGAAACTCATACCCATCGAACAAGAGAACGGCTATCCGGAGTCAATAACTAAGTTGAGTTTGAAGAGAATAGTTACGAGTTCGAGTCCCAGGACGAATATCAGCTGTGGGATGTAAGTACATACAGTTAGTGAGTTCCAAATGAGACTAAACGCCTTTTCTGGATTCCACTGATAGCCCTATTCCATATCATCTGAAATTAATATGACTGAAAATATCATGAACAACAGTTTTTCTCAACCCTGTCTATAATCTATGTAGATTTTATTGAATACAAAAAAGAATAATACAATGTTAGTCAATAGCAAATAATGTTTTGAAATGCACTTTAAATATTTATATGTTCATTAAAAAACAAAATGTGTTATCCTTTTAAAATGATCAACGTTGTTGATAGTATTCGTAATATTATACACAGCTGTTGTATTGGAAAACAGAACTGATTTGATTATTCTATGACATATACTTAATAGGCAAAAATATAATCACTAGTATAGTTAATAAGAAATGGTCAACAGCTGTTCAAATCAGCTTTTAATTTACATATTCGTGTGGTAAATTTATTTTGAAAGTGAAGTCACTGAACCTTTTCTCAGGTCGGTTTTCAACTCCTTGATCGTGAGTGATCTTTAATTTAAGGTATCGAATTTACTCTGTGTACTAACCACTTGTTATCACCATAGATTGCTTGAATCCTCATGATTAAATTATATGATGCTGAAAATTTTAATCTCTTACTTTTTCGAATTACTCTTTTAACTAATGTCTTAAAACAATGCACATTCATTCATTCCATTGTAGTTTAAATGTGATGATTGATTGCTCTTGTTTTGTCAGCAACACTACCCGGTCAGATTATACTACACTGACGAACTTCGGCGCGAAGAGACTGGAGACATGAGGGACGATATTATTTTACTCTGCATAAGATGCTGGTCAAAGGTATCTATAAAGTATGGTACATTCCTTGCCGAGTTAAAGCTTGTGTTTCTACAAATGATGATTGAATGAAATATCGGAATTCAAGTCACGACTGCAACAAGTCTAGAAGATGTAATCGGTGTTTTTGGAGTGCAATAGTATCAGTTCTACAGAGATTTAGCGTTCGGTAGTTCTAGGGTTAGAAGCTACTATGAACGAGTTCTAGGTTTTGTGAATTTTCAGATTGATTAACTGTGTCAATGCTATTAAGATTGCGATTTCGACATTCTTTTTTATTTTACATAGCTTTGGCAAAAAGCTGCATTCTGGCTGATTATTTTCTAATTGGTTGTTCTCAAAATCACTCTTAGAATATCTGAAAGTTGTCAGGAAGCTGTAGTCTTGCCGATTACCCTGATTAGTTTTCTTTAGTTGGTTACTCGTCATTGCGGACGCACTTAAATGGTTGAGGATTCATTATGAATAATAGCTTTCCCAGCACAAAGCATTCCATTTATTGGTCGTTAATTTATTATCCCAAAAGCACTTGTCTTGACAGCATTTAAAACATTTTAATAAATGTCAGAATACTTTTGTTTGTATGTTGAAATTTAATTGAAATAGGTATTTATTTGTTGCATTGGCACGCCGAGATATCCTTGTGTTACTTGACTTGATCTCGATAACATTGACGCAAAGTTTAGCGTTTATAGTTGTTGAGATTATTGTCCATTAGTATTTAGAAAATGAATCTATCTCATACATACATTAGCATAGTGAATACTGTTGACGGAAGACAGATCGAATTATGAATACCGGATACTTTTAGTTTTAAAATTGAGAGACCAATGAGACAAGTTGGTAGAACATGCTGGCGAAGACACTCATGGAGAAAATATAGTTGTTCTCAAGTGGAGGCATCTCGTTTATAATTTCTCCCCGTTGAATTACTTTCACTAAAAGTTGTGATTATTCGTTCGTAAAACATTAGATTGCATAATTATTAGAATTACTTTTAATTCAGTACTCATCACACCTTATCTCTAGTTTTAGGTCACAAAATATAATAACCTCACTTTCAGCGACAACAACTAAAGATTTCTCTCATCTGTGTTAGAAACCAATATCAATCCGTAACACTATATCTAACAAAATGTGATCATATGAAATCAGAATGTCAATTTAAACTTTCGCAATACGTAATTCATATGAAAATATCAATGATCACTTATTCGACTTTGTTTGTCAACATTTGACTATATCAGTAGTGAAACAGTCGTTACTGATCCATTAAATTGTCTTGAATTTAAGCCTCGAATCTACTCAACTTGATATGTGTATCTTTGGATGTCAACCCATTAGTTTAATGACTAATTGTTCTTCGTGTGTTTTAAAAGTTCCAGCTGCGACTCATCATATGGTCGTAAGTTTGCACTGTTGAAAATTTCAGTGCTAATGTAAAACAACTGTCTGGTGCGCTCTGCTTTTCTAAAGTATTTCCTAGTAAGATTCGTCTGGGATGATTACAACCTAGATATCACATTACTACTAGGACACTTCTAGGAAAAGAGTATATCAATCTATTCTTGTAAAAAGTAACAGCCAATTGAATTTATGCCTTAGATTTTATGTAAGGTATATTTTGTTATCAAGTTAACACAATTACTAATTAACAGAATACAGAAATTATTCTATTAGTTGATGTGTAATTTTAATCACATACGATAGATTTACTCAATCATCAATAAAGTGCAGTTCTTAGAGGTTATTCATTTTCGATTAATTTACATTTCAAATTGAGATTAAACGGATCGCCAATGGTGGTCAAAGTCTGACTTGCACTTCGGCTTGGTGCTTCTTAGACAGTGGGTGATTGTTTTCTCCATAAACTAACAGAAGAAGCACTGAGGAGACCGGACTGACAAACCATTCCATAGTCAACTGGGGATCAGATTAATCTTTTGCTCTGTTTTAACCTTGATCAAATGAGAAGAGAGCTCTTATTGAATTGTGACCACGACTGAGGCACTAAAGAAAATTTTCCTTCCATTATTTGAACACACTAGTTTGAAAGGGCCTAAAAGGTATGGCACGTGCGGGACAGAGAGTAAAACATAAGCTGTAACGTGACTAGTGCACAGTGGTCGATACTAAAACGAACTTGTGGTAAGAGCGTGAAGTGAACACATCGGCCATGGCGACTTACATACTGATTTGAATACTTTATATTCATTCAGTGCAAATGCTTCTGGGCTTGAAAACCAAAGTTGTTCGCATCTATGCCTATTTGTATACTATAGAGTACATGGGGCCTAGCTTACACATTCTATATATGGATATATCGCGTAAACTTGCTAGTGAAAACTTCTATACATATGTGCATTTGTGGGAGGTGTGGACATGCCTACGTTTTCCATAATTACATGTATAGCATTCTAGTAACCGCGTCCATCTATGTCGATATGTATACCTCGGGAATGTATGTATCTTTGACACCTGCATTTGAATATATGCATATGAAGCTACTTATTAGTAGCTCATCAAAGCTTTTGGCTTAGATAAAAGATTCCAGACGTGATAGGAAAAGAGTAGTGTAGGCCAATAAGAATATGTCTACAATGAATAATGTACTGGTATACTAATCCCTAAATATACATATTCTCCAGTGTCCTGTGGTACTGTATTTTCAAAGCTCATTTCCAATTCGTTGGGGTGGTAACTAAAATCACTGCGATAACTAAAACCTGGAGGACCAATGAAAATATAGAAACACTGGTCAGTTAGTCATTTAATCTTATGCATGGCGATATTGGAATAATAAGCGTAGATTTTTTTATTGACAGGAAGGCTTAACTTGCTTATTGACTTTCAGATTGAAAGTGATTTTCCAGGTATCTAGAAACTGAAATGTAGATTAATCTTAAAAAGAGAAAAAGATATTATTCAAGCAACCTATTACATTAACTGTCAGATGATACACCCACGTTTGTTGAAGTATTTGTGACAAGATGGTCAATATTAACATAAATATAGTGATATAATGAATTAATTCTATAGTCAACCCCTTACTGAAATGTATTCAACCGATCTTTCTACATAAAAAAGCACGGTCTGTTAAAAAAATTGCAACAGAGTATTACAGTGTCAATCGACACATTTACATGTTTATATATGAATTTGATTTTACAACACCCACAATCGTTAGAAACAAAAGTGCGTAGGCAATTTTAAACCAAATTTATAGGTTAACTAGATTGGGTTTCATTATAGTAACCAATCTGTGCTTTATAAATAAACTGGGAAAAACAAAAACAAACTACTTTTAACATAGCTTCGATTGCTTCACTTATTCTGAGGACATAAGTTGAATTAAAAGTTTTTAGTATTTCGGTTATTTGGATACAGTAGTGTTGCTTCTTTGGATTTCGGTGACGATTATCATGGCATCAGCAGACGTTGGTATGGCGTATCAGCCACCTTCTCAAATGAGTCCTCAGAGTGGTAATATGACAACATCAACTAAAGTGCTCAATCTTTCGAGAGCCCAAGTCAACTTGGCTCAACCAGCATATGGTGCCTATCCAACATCAGTATCCCCACAACAATCCACTCACACAAATGCCTATAATTATGCAACGCAACAAAGTCAATCACCCCCATTTTATGCTTATCCCAGTCAGACAGGAGTTGGACAACCTGACAGCAACTTCACTAAAACAGGTTTTCAAAATTTCGCGCAACCTCAAGTTTTCACAATTGGTTCTAACCAAGGGTCTCAAATGCAGCCAACTCAGTATCGACAACAAATTCAACAGTCTCAACAACCGCAACAGTATCGAGTTATTGCAACTCCTTTGCAAACTACAAACATGGAGCAACTGAATGCTTATCCTGTAAGTCAGATTAATTCACAACCTTCTTACAACACTCAACCAAATGTCATTTACTTCGGTCAGTCTGGACAAACTCAGCAGCAATTACCGATACAGCAACCTTACCATCCAGAAACACAACAGCAAACAGGTCAAATGGTGTATGCAAGACCAGCCAGTCAGTCTTACGCTCCTCCAGGAACTGCCTATCCAACTCAAGCACAATTTACACCACAGGCTAACACAGGTGCATTATCCTTTCAGCCAACCAATCAGCTAACAGCTTCGTCCCAGCCAATCACCGTTCAGCCCGGTCATCAGGTTAATCAAACAGGCCAGCAGAATTTTAATCAGGCATCAAGATTTCAACACGTGTCAAATCCTCTACCACCTTCACAAACTCCCCAGTTTCAAGTGCAAAATCAACAAGTTTATTCTCAAATTCAATCAAAACCTCAATCACTAGCACAACCTTACACTTCACAAACTAATTTTAATCAAATTGAACAGAAACCAACACCAGTTGCACATTCCACTTGGAGTGCACAAGCTAACAATCAAGTAATTGATAACAGAGAAAGACAACAATATTATCAACAACAACAACAACAACCAGTTCAAACTTATCAACAAGTTCAAACTAATCAATTCAACACACAGAATACTTTACCACCTATTGTATCTAGTCAAGGATTTGATCAACAAGCACCCAGACGTACACCTTCTGGTGGTCAGTCAAAACAAATTAAGGTCAAATCACTGGTAAGTAGTAACATTGAATAGAATTTCGATAATTAAACTACATTTAGATTTGATATTTTTTAATATATTGATACATATCGACAATTGTTTATTAATTAACTGTATATAATGAGTAGTTAATTAGTTAGTTCCACAGATATTTCTCGATAAGGGAAACGTTGATATTCTCATTAGTTAAGAAGGAAACAGAATATCAATTATGTTCACATGATTCATTCAATAGTTATTCTTTAGAAAATATTAAAATAACTTACATTTATTAGTAATTTGTCAAGTAAACTCATACTTTAAGACGAATTATATAATTACTAGTGAAGAAGGAGTTCGATGATACAACAAAGACAATGTCACTTTGTAATGAATACCATTTAATAGGTACTTTTACTTCATTGAATAACCTTGTGTTTTTTTTATAATCATTTGTAAAATAGAAATTTGACAAGAACATTTTCAACTAAAATGAAGGAATAATTAACTAATAATAAAATCCACTTTAAGTTGAAGGACTAGAAATGTGAAGTTTATTCGTTTGGTAAGAACAGTTTATAATAGTGTAGACTAATCTAGATTGATTTTAGTGAAAGTTTATCTTTTAATAACTTATGTAAATATATATATTTCAATCAACATACTTCTAAATAGTTTAATAGTTAGGTTCATTAGTCAATTGAAGCCTGAAAACTATGTAAAACCTGGAAACGAATCGGCATCGTGGATGCGCACTGCTGAAGAGTCCCATACTAGGGAGAAACGGTCATCCACTGCTTCCAGGTTTTCCATGGTGGTCTAGTTTCAATTGACTCGTGAATTCAACTATTAAATTACTATAATATCCACTAAACCTTTCTCTGATTCTAAACAATGACTGAAATAAGCGGATAAACAAATTACAAATTGATGTTATGCTGAGCTCCGTGAGTTATTTTCTGATGATATTTACATACGATAGTGCAAAACATAACTAATTTTATGGAACAAAGGTATCAATTATTTCATCATAACATAGTCCCTTTTTATGATCTAACGTGGGTGTTGAAATAGTTGAAATGCTTCAAATAATCAGCAACTATATAATTGATGTCCAAGATTACTTCGTTGTAGGATAATTTATACAAAGAACTAGTGTTTCTCATTTGTTCAATCATTTCGGCTGAACTATTCGTTATGTAAAGGAATTATCATAACAAAATATAACCTCGTTTAAGAAATAATAGATTGTTGAAGCTTTAATACACGATATAGTATATACTAGTCAGAATATTCTACCAACAGTTTTCCTTACAATGTGCTTGTAATGGTGTATATCTACAATACAATTTTTATAACAGTTTTGCATGTTTAAATAGGCGAATTAAATGTCCTTAATATTCTGCCTAAATAGTCTAGCAATCAATCTGTTTTCATAATCGTTTACTATCAGGTTATTCTATACTATTATCTTCTTGAACCTCTTTCATATATGCTGTTGCTGGACTTCTATCACAAACTCTTCGGGTATCATCCTAGTTAGTCCCTGTTCCTTTCCTAGAGTACTAATCATTTTCCATACGCTTGGAAGAGTAGGACTAACTAGTTAACTAAAGCCTCTATGCTATCCATCTACCCTATTTTCTGTATTAGAGAAATTATTCTAATCAGGAATATGGATTTTTCACAGTACGCTTTGATGATGATCTCCGAGTCTTGTTGGTTCGCCGACCTAACTCTTCTTAGAATAATTCGTGAACATTAATTTTTACTTTAATCTCTACGTAGGATGTCAACTCCGTTACTGTCACATGCAGCTGTAGCATCTGTGACTAGTACAATAGCTAATGCCGTCAAACAACGGTTTCGCAAAGGACGAATTTCAACTGTTGTAGAACGTTGAAGATATAGTGATTGCTTCAGTCTCCACCATATACATTAACTCAAGTGGAACAAGCAACCATTTTGTACTGAATTTGGATATATTTTTCAAAGTTCATTCAACTAGATGAAGGGACACGAATACAACTTCGTAATTTTTTCGTCTATCAGAATGTAAGCCAAGGGAATGATCGTGTAAAAATCTGTAGTATGGATCGTTTAGATATGAGTAAACAATGAAGGCCGGAACCTAAATGTTCTATCGACGTATCTATGGCGATATGTTTCCAAAATCTCTACATTCTAAGTTTTAGAAAATATCAAGATGAATTTCTTCTCCGATTCACTATCCTTTGAAAAAAATTCTCCCCTGTCACATTTGTCTCGTATTCAGTCAGTGAATTTAGTACTTGGATTTGGTAAAAAATCCTAATTGTTATATCACGCGCAGCGAATTATCTACTTCATTTCAATCACAGATACAAATTGGATTAACACTGTATATGACAGATGAGTAGATACCATTTTGATGTGTCACTTCTGTTGCTGAAGCTGCTTGAGCTAGACCATTGTATCTACCTTAAGCTTGATCTGAAACATGATCATGTTCCTTTGCCCGTTTTGCAATGGCCTCATGATTAGCATGATAGTACTGTTATGTCTTAAACTTTACGATTACTGCGCATACGACTGCCAAATTTAAATACGCGGACATATACGACCAACTAATGAAGCATACACCTGTACGAACAGCCTAGAATCCTGATTGATCCTTTTCCCGCTGGCTCTGCCTGTTAAGTCCAGAACATCAATTTCAGCCTACGCTATATGAATCATTTATATCAAACATAATTGGTTTATATACAAGCCAAACAGACCACATAACAAATAGATAATTACATTTGTACAAGATCAAGCCAGAAAATGGCTGTGACTGTAATGAATAAAATGAGCATAACGTAAGAATAGTAAATTGTATAATAATAATCCATAGGTCAAAATAAAGCTTATAATAAGAGGTATATGAATATACATAGTTTAGTTACTTAACAATTATAAGTAAAAATATGTGTACAGTATTAATCTATAAACAGATCCCAACAGTTACCAGTCATTATTCTTGTCGGGATATAACAAGTACGACCTACACATTGCTGTACAATATTCTCTGAATCATCAAATCTCCTTGTCATCAATACTTTTTTTCTTTCTGTACATGTAACTCGACAGCCTCCGTAACTTATACATATTCCAATTTCTGTCCTATAGTTCTTTACCTTTATATGGAATTAGATCATTTTTAATTTACATTAAATAAATTGGCATAAACTTATTTCATGTACCAATCACACATTCAATACAATTAATTAATCATCATTTTGTCTAATATTTTCTTTACATTTCTTGTAAATTGATTCTTAACTATTCATAATGATGCAAATATAATCAGTTTGTATCTTCAAGTAACAGATTTTCAATACTTTTACTTCTCATATTCATTAATTCATGTTATTTCTCTGAGTATATAAATCAATTACTTTAGATCAGAATCGATCACAATGGCGTTAGTGTATACACTTTTTGTCTTCCCTTAAACTATGAGATTAAAATTTGTTTTATACTTCTCTTTCTACGAACTAATTTCCTATCTTCCTGTATTGTATCCATTATACACAATCTTTCTTCTATAAATTACTACCATTGAAGTAACTACTTCTATGAATTTGGTGTTCATCGTGTTGTGCTAATGGGATGTGGCAACTTGGACCGATGAATATATGTACGTGGTCTTATTTTGTAGCTGACTGATTGATTAAGATCATCAGTTTAAAATTCTTATCCATATGAATTGCAATATTAATGTTTAGGAAATGAATAATGGGATAACCCACCAATTCACTTACCTACAAATGTTGTATTCTTCTACAGTTTCTGCTAATTATAGTTGATTAACTCGTTTATAGTTTCATGGATAAAAAATATCTGAATCAAAATAATGTAAATTTGCAAAAACATATTCGTTAAATACGTTCAATAAATTACTTCATATGACTATACCGGAACTAGTGTCAACTAGCTTCATCATGAACTTTACATTCTAGTTTTGTTTTGTTGTAGAAACGTTACAAAACAACCCAGTAAATACTTATATTATAAAGATTATGTTCCATGTTAGTGTAGACAGATATTACGTGGTAAGTATAGATTTATGTTTATAATTCAATAGTCGTAACACTTGATGATGCATGAAAAGCAGCTGAAGAAAACATAGATAAAGGAAATTATTAGGGAGATATTACTTGATAGTTCAGAATGCCTTAGAAATTGAGAATATACATATTTTATAGAATCACACACATTCCACTCATGATTCGCGTATGAACCAGTTCAGTTTATATAAATCTGATTTAATACTTTTACGTACACTAAAGTTGTAATTTTTTTTACAATCTAATTCAATTGATTGTTTTTTGTTTTAATTTAGCCAATGCGTAATTCGGTTAGCATAGATGGTATTGACTCATCTGGTCCACCACAGTTTGTTGTCCATCCTGTAGGCCAACTAACCATAGCAGAAGGTGAACCAGCTAATATAACTGCTCGTGTACGTCCGGCTGGTGATAGTACATTGATTGTTGAGTGGTATAAAAATGGCAAGCCATTACCAGCAGGTATGTATTTGTATTGTAAATCCTCATTATACTATGTTCTCCTAACTTATCATTAGATTTTTATACATATCAGACAGATTTATTATAAAATTCATTTGATAGAATATTTTAAGTGTATATTCTTGAACAATAGTGTAATAACCTTCTAGTATACTTCACTAGGGTCATACAATCATTTATTTCATATGGACCATTAATTTAATGTTACAAACTCATGATATTGACGTGGACCTGATGCGTTTAAGCATGAAATTTATTTTGATTGAATACACTCAATCATTCAGCTATAAATGAGCAGTCTTGAACTTGGTACGTATGTGCACTGATCAAAGATAACAGTAGGAATGTTTTTCTCCTACTCTTCTTATTGTTTGTCTGAATTAAAAGATTTATGAAATGTATGTATCCAAAAACATTTTCAAATTTAACTTATTGTATTCCGTTATTCATTAATACAATTAAGTCTGCGAAACTATTCGAATTTAATGAAGGAAATCATCCCGTTATTCCTCATCGATTTCAAGTGAGGTTGACAACAGGTACTAAGACTTCACACTTATATATCAGTAGAACGTTAATAATGTGAAAGCTGAAGGACTTGGAAAAGAACGAAAGCAATCAAAAAGCAGAAATTTATGAGATAACAATTAAAACTCAAGAATTGGAAAAGATAGCAAGTAAATACATAAAGACTAGTATGACAAAATTTGAGTCGTCTCAATTGTCACAATTTAAATGTGAGAAGTATAGGAGGCTGAGGTGACTTCACTACACCTGGCTACATAAAGTCTCCAGCTGATCAAACTTTATTTTGAATAAATTGACTGATTAAAAATTTATCCACGTGTTGAGATGTAAGGCGTTCCGCTGCTTGTTGATTCGATAGAAAAGTCAGTAGCCACCAGACAAGTAGTTGATTAAGATATTGGAGTATCCTGGTAAATCCTCTATTCTGAGAGACAAATAAATTGAGGACATCAGAAAAAAGTTATTATTCGGTATTTTGTAGATCGTGATTAAGTCTCAGCTAGTCTTTCTATTCGACAAGACGGGTAGGTTTCTCTGACCATTTTTCTTTGTACCTTTTCCAACAATTTACCCTGTGTATTTGTACATGGGAAATTAAATTAGCAAATGAGTTGATATTGGAAAGTAGTCACATAATATCGTGAATTTGATTGAGGTTAGACATGTAAACCGCTGAATCCCGACTCCTCTCGTTTGGAGGTTAAGCGTTCGGGCGCGAAACCACAGATCTTTTATTTGATCCCATGACGTTGATCATGGGTACGTCCTGATGATTAGCCCCATACCAAGACGAAGCTGCAGTCAAGCAGTTTTTGATTCTTAATGGTGGTTTAATTAGGGTGAGTTCATGAAATAAATATAAAATATGGGAATCCTACGAGATACGATTTCAGCATAACGTATGAAGAAAAAAAACATAACAAGTAAGCAACACAAAATTTACAGTGATCATTCTCGTATATTCCATAATAATTCGTGTTAAATCAGTTATAAAACAGCCAAAAATAGCATAAAAGTACAACTTTTCACAGTTTTGATCTTCCACACATTAGGCTTTATAATAATGAGAATATATTTATAAAATCTCTGATTGAATTTTAAGTAAATTCAATGTTTCTCTTGTCAATCCAGTTCAAGCTTTTTCAAGGAAATATAATCAAAGATCAAAATTATTGAATATAAATCGATACATGGTACACTAAATAGTTTATTCAATTATGTTAGAAATGTTTGAAGTACATATTTGCTGTAGTACGTTTGAGATATGTGGTATGTAACGTAATGTGTTAAGATAACAGATTATGTGTATTCTCTTAAGTGGATCAATATTTTAGTAAATCCATGTTATCTTTTTCTTTTCCAAGCTTCTCGTTTCACAACGACATTTGATCGAGGCTACGCAGTACTTGATTTTCTATACGTGAATGAGGATGATAATGGAGATTATTCTTGTGTAGCAACGAACAGTCAAGGTCAAGACCAATCAAGCAGTTGTCATGTGACGTGAGTGATTATAATCACTTTTTTTTTCAACGAAGCTTCTGTTTCATTTTTCACTAGAGCTTTTTTTCCTCTACATGACAATATAAGATGTTACAGGAATGTGGTAAATCCAATTGTTGATAACATCATCACTGAGTTATACCACTGAAATTTTTTTTATTCTCTTGTGATTATCAGAATGAATCATTGAGTTGATTATTAAACTGAGTAGTGATAAACTGCACATTTTAGTTAATCAAAACAGCAACTGGTTATAATGTTTCAATAATAAATTGTCTTACTGTGTATGAGACATAATGGTTTACTTGAATTGACACCGGAGTAACAAGTACCATTTCACCGTCATATAAATTTGATTACATATAACGTGTAAATCACTAATTTCATGGTAGTTGAACTGTCTTTATTCACGTTACTCATCAATTAAATATTATGAAACAAGATAACTCAATACAAAAATGTGTCAGTTTCAATATAAATTTACGCTTTCATTAATAATAACTACTACTAACTAGTTATATTACGATAGAAGTTGTTAACTTCAAAGAATATGTACAATTTAAAAATTCCATTTTTTCAATGTTTTCTTAGAAGTTGTCTAATCGCTTTGCATATTATACCGTATCATCAATTTGTATATTTTCATTTTAAATGCAATTTGTACAGAAGATAAAGGGGTTGTTAATTTGGGTGACAAAACAGTTCATTGGTTGATGTAATAATGCATTATATTATAACAACAAATACAAACGTTCCCAATATACTAACTGTTACAACGCTCGGTTTTACTTCGTCTAATGTTATAACGGTCGGGTTTCCACTTTTACAAATGTGGGACGTTAATTTACCTTAGACAAATATTTAAACTAGATTCCCTGTCAATGTCTATTCTACAGGACGTCAAAACAACTCAGATCAAGAACACATAATTAGCCTGACCACAACGTAAATATATTTCCACATCGAAAATCCGAAACAATCCAAAAACAATGAGCAATCAATAATAAGTATAAGGATAGGGAAATATTTAACTCATCTGTCACCTGTCAGACTATGGATAGATGCGTGGTAGAACTCATTGTTATCAACTAATGAGGTTAGTTGAAATGCCTCAACGATACACAATCATTAGGTATATATATGTATATATGAATTTTCAGAATTCAACCTCTGATAAGGTTTTGGTTGATTAACAGTGAGGTATCTCATGCTATAAGTAAGAGAGACTGTCTGATGCTGATTTCTCCAGTCTAAAGTATTGTCTACAAATTCGGCCGAAAGTTCTATCTTCGTTGGTCAAAAGACTATATTCCGCATTTCACTATTTTGTCAACAAGTGTTACAGTTTTATATTATAATGAGAAAATCTATCTAATTGTTTTCAGTTATTTCAAGTAGTATAAGAATGGGTTAATGCAGTTTCGGTCAATTATTTTCTAGCTCGCGTTCACTGAAACTTTAAATTAGATAGTGTAATCGGTTCACTTGTTTCATAAGTTTTATTTTCTCCCAGAAGCTTCCCTCGTGTAGTCTCCGTTTGTTAGTTGTTTTTACTTTTTATTTAATTATCAAACATATAAGTTAATTCTATTTTATTTATTCAGAATTATACCAGAAGAGGGAGTTGTCACTGAAACTCAATTACCAGAAGAATCTATGATTGCAAATCTAGCTATGATGGAAGATCATTTAGTAAGAAATGGATTAGATAGAGCTAATCGTTATCATGATGATATACGTCCAACAAATCCACCAAATTTTCTTAAACCACTTGCACCACAAGTTGGTCTTCGTGAATCGGCTCCAGCACATTTCGAAACATGTGTAGAACCCACAAATGATCCTTCGTTAACAGTTGAATGGTATAAAGATGGCAAACCTGTTAGTATGGGTATGTATAATTATACTTTTTTATATCGACTGTGTAACGCAAATGTTTAACGAGGTTAAAGTTTTGTTTCACTGAAACTTCTTTTAGTTATGAATATCCACGTATAGTGATTATTAAATTGAGAAAGTGAAAGAAGTAGTTTATGTCACAGGTTATATCATCGGGCATATAGTTCAGATCTCTAAGTTGATGTCATTTATCAATCGTTATCATTTTGGAATAAATAATTTTAATATTTGTATTCTAACCTTAGCTAATACAAACAATCATAATTAGAGTTAGCGCAGAAAGTCTTTTTATGGAATCGTTTAATCACTTAGTGATTATCCGGAAGATTTTGTAGCTGTACCTCATTATGATCGTCAATAATACAACCGTTGAACTATGTACTGAACTTAAAAATTTAAAATTGATTATAACAACGAGACAGACTACTGAACAAATTTTTTGTAGATGACATCTTTTTCTTTATTACAATTAGGGTTTGTGGAGTTTGTAGTAAATTAATAGTTGAATTCGTGAGTCAACTGAAGCGAGACCACCACTGAAAACTTGGAAGCACTGGACGGCCGTTTCGTTTTGCTATGGGACTTCCCAGCAGTGCGCATCCACGATCCCGCACGAGGGACTCGAACACAGGACCTTCAACATTCAATATGATATGTTAATTTCCTGCAACTGAATCTTTTGATGAATTAAAACGGTGCAAGAAAATAAAATTTTATGAAATAAAATGAGTTCGTAGATCTATTTCACAGCTTCTTACTAGCTGTATATAGTCCGAAGGTACATTTGTTAGTATAATTAGAAATGAACTGTTTAACATACTTTATTTTGTGCAGTTTAAATGAATGTTCGAAATGTAAATAGACAAATCATAGTTATCAGAATAATGGGATATAAAATGTATGAACGAATGCAGTTTAGATCAATATTCATTTCTATGTTGAAAAGTAGTAATTTAGTGATGAGTTCCCAGGTACAATCGACGAAATAATCAAAGCGGCACTGATAAAAAGTTTTCACGGACCTCAGTTGGTTTCAACAACAAGTGTTCGTTATACCACTTAAAGGCAATTCAGTACGCATCCAACGTCACCTTCAATTGTATCTATGATTTAATATGTACTTGATTTAGTAAGTATATGAGAAGGATAGCGAGAAGAATTCCCACTAGGTTTTCAGACGATAGTTCTAGGAATTCATGCCTGAAAGGCAATAAGATTTTCACAAGTGTAGCTTTCAGGTGTCTTTTAGATAGTGAACATGGAGCAAATGTAGGTTATGAATTTACAATAATTAACAAACAGTCGATACTAATTTTACTCCGTCTTGTAGAAGCAAGAGATATCAAACATTTCTGACCTGACCTATATATATATACTCATAGATTGGTTTGCTTTTCTTTCTTATCATGTTGAGTGATTATGCAATCAACTATTACCAGTATAAAGGTTGTGGAGATTATTGATTGAAATCATGAACTATTAGTCTCATTGGGCGCAAATAATTCCGCTTATTTTGAGTATGATTACTAGCAACTATAACGTTACATCCTATGCTCTGAATTACTACTCTTTAACATAGAAATACACAGCGATCTTAACTATATTCGTTCATACATATGATTCGTCTATTAACATTTCGAAAATTTATCTAAACTGCACAAACTAAAGTATATTAAACAGTTTGTTTCCAATTATATTAACAAATGTACTTTTTGATTGTAGACAGCTAGTAAGAAGATGTGGAAATAAATTGATGAACTCATTTTATTCTGCATAAACTTTGTTATCCTTACACCATTTGCGTTTATAATAAGTTGGCCAATTTTACTGAAAATATATATTGGCCTGAGAATTGATCAAGATCATTTTACGAATAATACATTTGGATTCAAACATGATATTAGCTTGACTACCGTGTCTTACAACTGTGTCGGGTTTTCGATACTTATCTACTGCAAGTTATGGACGACGGTTACGCAATATCACAAACTGATTGAAGTTATGTATGCACATCAAAAATATGTCGTCTTAGTGGTCTGTAGGTCAGGGGGTTCACTTTCGAGGCTGAACGTCCTGGATCTAATCTCCTGCAGTGGAATCGGGCGTGCTATCTGCTGAGACGTCCCATACTAAGAGCAAACGGCCATCCAGTACTTTATAACTTTCATTGGTGATCTGACCAATGTCAGTTTATGATGTAAACTAAGAAAGCTCTACAATTTCTGCAAATCCTTTTATGCAAAGTATGAAGTTGTTAAACTCATGTCCGCTAACCTTCAGTAGTGGGTTTTGATTCCTATGTTTCGCCATTGTTTCATGTTCAGTCATTAGAAAAATATATTTAGCATAAATAACTATACTTAAATGAAGGTAGATCATAATTTCTTGTTTTCAGATCTGAAACTTGATGGAAACTGTTTGTTCATCACGCCTGTTCACTTTATTAACGTTCTATTTCCTCTAAATGGATTATTACAGGCAATTATTTATTTTCACGGAACATTAAACACTTAATTCATTTTAATTTAATACACAAACCTTTATGATATATTTTTTATATAGGCTGTCGTTTTAATGCTGTATTGGACCGGGGATTTGCTATGCTAGATATTCATTATTGTTATCCAGAAGATAATGGAGCATACTTTTGTGTTGCACGTAATGCAGCAGGACAGGTACAAAGCAACGTGGTTGAATTACAGTAAGTAAATAATATTTAAGTTTTCATTTACATGAATATGTATGGTAGATGACAAGACAATTGATTTCATTGACTGTATGCTTGTGTTTGTTTTTATATTGATAAATAGTTTTGCAACTCACGAAAATGATACTCCTATAAGACAATGTGGAAAACAATGTTGTCAAGAAGAAAATGACAAAGTTTATCTTCAAATCTAATGGTGTAAAGTGTATTAGGATATATAACCTGGAATTGATAAATACTGTAAATTAAAAACAGTATATGTGGGCTTTAAAACAGAAATACTAGTTTAAGCATAGATGATATTTCACACCTCTAGCTTGTTCAATTCATACTTACAAAATTTGTCAATTTATTAGTTACTTAAGAATCATGATAAAAACTATTTAATTTTGCTATACAGTGTTTCACAAAGAATAAGTTCGTTTGTTGACTAACATGATATTTTAAATAATAGCTAAACGAACAGCAGTTTATCTGAAAATAACGTTTCATCGAACACTTCTGTGTCCCGATGATCTTCAATGGTATGATTATTTGATTCAAACTGTTCTAATTGACTGTTGTTTCTTATCGATTTTATCCATTTTACCCATTGATTGAGATATAAGTAATTTTTAGTGAATCAGCTCATAATCAGTATATTTACGTTATATGTCAGTGACTGTTCTTGCGATCCTTCATATAAACGACTTAATCTTATTTGTCCTACATTGCTGATTCTGTCGATTAACTAGTGTAATCTGTTGACAAATGAATGTTTCCATTGAAAATATTCTGCCTTTAAGTAATATATCTTATACTACCCTTCCCCACCTCAATTTATGTCGCAGATGTAATGCAGATGAACATATTGTCACTAGTTCAGTATTATCGAAAGAATCAATTACATATCTTCAAAGTTTGGATAATTGGGAAAGTGATGCAATGGCAGGGTAGGTTATATTAAGAATTTAATTAATATAATTGTTATATTAACTTGTTAAGTATATTCTAATGTACATCAGGATTGGTGTCTTAGTCCCTATTGTTATATCCAAGCGAAGATTAAATCACGAGTAACTCCTGAAACATATTAATTGACAAATATTATCTATATATTCTTATAATGTAACTATTCAATAATTAGATTATGTATATTTATATTCCTCTTATTATAAGCTTTATTTTGACCTATAATTTATTATTATACGATTTACGGCTCTTAAGCTATGTTCCGTTTATTGACTACTGCCTGCCACGTTCACAGCCACATTTGGCCAAATGTGGCCAATAATCTAATTATTGAATAGTTACACCATAAGAATATATAGATAATATAAGTCAATTAATATGTTTCAGGAGTTACTCGTGATTTAATCTTCTCTCGGATATAAAACTTATTATTATTATTATTATCAGAATGGGTTTTGTGGAGATTTTTAGAAATTTCACAAGTTGAAATCATGAGTCAATTGAAGCTAGACCATACCAGGGCGAAACGGCCGTCCAGTTCTTCCAGGGTTTCCATGGTGGTCTAGCTTCAATTGACTCATGATTTCAACTTGTAAGATAAAACCTATTGTTGACTTCAAATTGAACGAGTGATGATAGTAATAGTAATGAAACATGAATCATACTTCTTAAGTTCACATAGATTCCATCAACTAACTACATCAATACAACATCGATAATAAAAAATTAGAATACGAAAGCGGTTACAATCTATGTATGTCATACATTTAATTTAGAAGATAGACGATCAGAAATATATCTGAAGTAGAGAAGATAGAAAGTCAAAAAACTTACTCAATACAAGTGTTAATATTAGTCATAATGGACAATGCATAATGCTAACAAGAAGATAAGCATCAGATAAGAAAATATCAAGAATATGGACAATCACATACAATACATAAAAGTGCAGAATCATAAGGATATAAATAAAAGAGATATGTCTTATGAATAGAATAGAGTAATTAAGACGGTAAAAATGACGCAATAGTTGCATACTATCTGAGTTATCAGTTTGTTCGAAAGTTAGAATAAGCCTACACAAGTGTTATATAGCAACGAAACCATTATTATGAACTGTCCTTTCAATATTAGGAGAAAAAAAGTTGTTTAATACTGACTGACTTTCGATGAATATCTAACTATAATCAGTTCATGATATCAAGTCTAAGAAATATATTAATCTTAGACAGAGTAAGTCATTGTAAATACACATAGTATCATGAGATGATTCCAATAGCCATTCATTTCAGATATAAAGAAATATTACATATAGCGATTTATACTGACAACTGGTAGCAAATTTTTATGATTTTTCATTCCTATTTATGCATATATGTATATTAGATTATAATACGAATTAGTTGACTATATACACGATATACCGTGAGTCCTCCCGTGGTTGATCGATTTCTTTTAGCATTTATCCATCCTGTGAGCATTATGTTGATATTACTATTGAATCATGGGCAATTAAAAAAAAATTAAACGATTACAGTCCTTGATATCAACAACGGGATAATCTAAATAACCCTTACATACATAAAAGATAGTGATTATTTGGACACAGTAGATTAGTGGATAACACATTGAACGTACTAAAATCTGATTTCTAATATGAACATCAACATTGAGGTGTAAGCACATGTAAAACAAATTCGCGACTTGCATTCAACTGCAAGCCACTGTTTAACTCTTGTCATAATGATTTTAAGTTTCTGTTTAGAAGACTGATATAAATAATAGTTGAAACACAAAATGGAAGTAAATCGCACCCAGTAATATTAACGTATATTGTACAGTTGTTTTCTGGGCTTACTTAAAGAGAATTTAATAGAAACGATATGAAATCATTGTTTGGTAATGGAATGTATATGAAAAACTTATGTTTTTAACTATTTGGTTGGTAAAAAAATCAGAAAATCGTCGCGTAATATCGTGAATTATATGAGGTTAGACATGTGCACCACTGGATATCGACTCAGTAATCTTAATGTTCCAGATTTGCTATGAACCCTGCAGGTCCTGATTTCGGCCCCCTGTGGTGATGTCGTGAAGGAGCACTACTGAGGAGTTTTATGTTAAGATGAAACATCTATCTAGGACTTACAGGTTTCTTCCTATTTGGGACACTCCAGCAAGATGTACCTGTACATCATGTTTGTAGTCGCGGTGTGAATACAGATACAAAGCTGTATATCAATTCAGCTAACGAGTTCTAAATTAGATATAACGGGCAACTTGGGTCTCGATTCTAGCCACAACCCATCTATTCTGTAAAAAATTATGAAGATTGACTATATTTAAGTAGTCCTCACAGAAAGTACATAATGCCAACCTATACCGGTCAAAATTCAGTCAAGAATATCAGCGAAACATGAAAAATTAAGACCTTCTGTAATGATGATATAAATTATTTTTATTATTGTCATTTAATTCCCTCATAGTTATGATACAGTTAAAAGAGAAGAAGAAGAACCTCCATGTGCACCGTCATTCGATATTCTCCCTGTTGCTGTCACTGTCACTGAAGGTTCGCCAGCTAAATTTATTGTTAAAGCAGGTGGTTATCCAAGGCCTAAAATATTCTGGTATATTAATGGGGAACTGATAGCCTCAGTAAGTTTATAATTGACTGAATTTTTATTATTTAACTAGATAGCTCTATATTATTTTATTACGATATACTATTAGTTATAAGATAATATAGCCGACCGATAATCGAGAGTTATACCACCATTAGGCCGGATACACAAGTGATATGCTATACAACTAATTGGATCACTTTACATTGAGTCACATTATTCATGCTCAAGTATATGGAACCTGAGTGTAGTCTAGACAATGTTCATTCAACACAATGACAGTCAACTAACAAACATATTACTTCATTAGTCCACACATAAATTCATCACTTTACGTAATTTACATCTTAATAATCTGATTACTTAATTTTCTTTGTACTCTTTTTATTAATCTTACTATTAATTTTAAAAGCAATACTGAACATTTATATACAGTTGGTCAATTTCGAACTTAATTTTTCTTTAATAGTTGGATTCATGAGTCGATTAAAGCTAGACCACAATGGAAAACCTGGAAGCACTGAACGGCCGTTTCGTCCTAGCACGGGATTTCCCAGCGGCGCGCATCCAATCCGCGGGATTCAAACCCAGGACCTATCAGTCTCACTTGAGAATGCCTAACATCCAGACCACTGAGCCGGCATCTGACGGTGTTGATGTCTAACGTATTCTATTGTGTATTAAAGGTATTGAGTTCAAATCCTGCTGGCGGGATCAAGGATGAGCACTGTTGAGGAGTCCCGTACTAGAACGGAACGACCATCTAGTGCTCCCAGGTTTTTCATTGTGGTTTAGCTTTAATTGACTCATAAATCCAACCATTAAATTATTACAATCTCCACAAAACCCACTTTCTGTTAATTCATTTTGTTTCATAACAAAATGTTATTTAAATGTAAATACTCTGATTAAGACATTAGAAACAAAAGTCGACCGAAGGAACATATATTTTCAACTAATCTTGATCTGCATAACAATCTACTTCATTATTTTCGCTGAAAACAGTATTCAGTTAAAAACTCAACAAACTTAAATCTCAGCATGAGACCACATAATCGGAATATTTTTAAGTATCTCTCAACAATAGTATTATTTAAGACGTCTGGGCAATTCAATTGAGTTTTATGAAATTTAAATGTAAATACATGCTGATTAATGAGACTGTATTGTAAATCTCTTCATTCCCAACTAGAAATAATGTTGTTCTATATTGTGACGATGGTAACTTCATAGTTATGATATATAGTAATACACATTAGTGTATGACATTCAGATCACTTTTCGCCTGGTAACCATATGTGGTGGTACGAAGAAGTTAGATCATGATAGATCTACTGTAGGATATAGATGTCCAGATCACAATCGGCTAAATTATAACACACATACATAGGGAGGAGTAATCGAACATTGCATTCAAGGGTCATGGAACATGTGCCTAGATAGCTTCAAAATCAATTAGTTTCAAAAGATCTGATCAATGTTGGAGGTAGAAAATCAAGATCATCGATAGCGAAACATATAATTGAAACGGGGCACAAAATTGACAAAATATTACTATTAATTTTGTGTTATCTATCATGAATAACTCAGTTAAAATGTCTGACATACAACCTGATGAGAGTTCAATCCCATTTCACTAGAAAATCAGTACCCTAACAATCACGATACATTTTATTGACAAGTACCAAATAAATCTGGAACTTTTTCGGATTAGCTTTGACTGTCTAAAATATCTAGACGCACACAATTGTGTTAAGTCACCTAAACAGGTGAAAACGTTAGAACACGATTCTGAGAGTATAATCTATACTTAAGATGGGACACCATACCATTGATCTTTAACCAATTATCATTCTATGAATAAAGCTCTTTACGTGTTATGATTCCATAAAACGTATTTAATATAAGCAAAAGCTGAAAGCAAACATTATGTTGAAATCAAATTCTTATCTTTGTCTTGACAGTAACGGATCTGTATTTTGCATATATATCGATCATTTAGATTTCGAGTTCTGTATGATAACTATAAGGTATCAATTAGGTTGTATTGGAAAAAATTATGTATACATTTAATTCAACTAACTAGCATGTTAAAGGTTTTCTTTTAATGTCAGCTACAGAAAATTATGTGTATAGGTGCCTATATAGTTCATAATATTTTCATGTTTTCTACAAGTTGGAATAGATAATATTAACTTATTCATCTTGATATGATGGGGAATATTTATAGTACAAGATACAAGTGTTCAAGATGTTTTACTCTTTAAGCTGGATGGTTTAAGTATGAAGCAATATAGATTGTTGGCTCTACTATCATAAACTTTATCATTACTTAACGAGTGTTATTGAAGTGAATTATAAACATTATTAAGATTAGCTTGTTTTCTGAAATCAAGTTTTGACTGATAAGTTAATCGCTGTACACAATGATATAAACATCAGTATGATTTTGAAGTTCATGATTTTCAGTATTGCAATGGTGATGCTTAAAATAAGATCGTAATAGAATGTTTACTGAGTGAATTTCTAGCTGAGAAATTAATTCTATTTGAACAACATAAAAAATAGGCCATTTTCAATACATAAAAACGTACATATCAATGTAAACTATGAATTCCCATTGTTTCTAATCACTTGTTTATCATTAGTCTGGAGGTGGAGGAAATTGGAGAATATTTCAAGATGGTGGTATTAGTAATTTAGAATTTCATCGTGTTGGTACACCTGGTGAATTACATATTAAAGCTGTTGCAAGAAATAATATGGGTGAAGCTGCTGCTGAAACAATATTGATTATTGAACCACAATTAGATTTTAGACCAGATCTACGTCATGTTGAACCAGGTAAATAGATTTAAATTTCCTGAATATGTTTACTTATATTTCACATGAACTCATTCTTCACGGTTATTTTCTTTTTTTTACTCTTTCAACTATAATGAACACTAGTCTCAATTTTTCCTGCATTTTCTTAGAAGTCACAATTTTATTAGTATAGGGTTATGGAGATTATCAAGTTTTTGATTGAGAACATGAATCCATTGATGTTCACTATTGACTAGCTTCGTGAGGGAATTTTCGGAGTTCTAGTGAGAAGCCGTAACCAATGGAGCTAATCCATGTCGGGTAGAGACAGGTGATCGCGCAATTTCGTGGATTGGTTGATGTTGGACACTATCACCATTTGATACCGGCTCAGTGGTTCAGTTGGTTAAGCGTTCGCGCGTGAAACTGAAGGCTCTGGGTTCGGATCCCACGAGTGAAATCGTAGTTGCGAACTGCTGAGGAGTTCCACAATGGGGAGAAACGGTCGTCCAGTGCTTCCAGGTTTTCAGTGGTGATCTAACATCAGTCAGTTCATAATCTCAATCAAAAAGTCAGAATCTTACTTACTTTTTCAAAACAAATACAATTTTATTGTTTGATCATATTGTATAACTTAACTTGAGATGAGTTTAATGTACAATTATTTTTTACCTTATAAATTTATGTTTTTATGTCATTCTGACACTTCATAACAGTCCAAAGCTAGAACGTACCTGATATCATCTGATAAGTGAGATTAAATTTCACAAGTCGATGGATTAACTGTAATATCTAAATTTAAAATTATTTTGATTCAACGGCTGTCTAATAATATTTTCTTGTGATGCGATATACTTACTTGTTTATATCAGTTACTTCTTGGAAGATATATGCCACTGACCAGAATTCAAAGAACCTATTCTATCTTGGGCTCTCCTTCCTAGTTGTTGCCAAGTATTATTTATTCTTTCTTCTGATGTCTATCCAAACAAGCTGTCTGTCCTTTTTTTCCAATGCAACAAAACTCTCTATATATGCTCTACATTGAAATTAATTTACAACTTCTTACATAGTTTAACTGTCAAAAGAATTTGATTTTAAAAGGAAAAATATCCCTCCAGATAGAATAGTTTAGTGTATACTGTGTTGTGAAAGTGTAAAAGAAAAATACCGTGTATAATATCGTAACATGTGTTCATTAAAATGTCACAATAGTGACATTTAATACTTGTCATTGAATAGAAAGTACATTTTACTGAATTTACGATCAAACAATTGATATTTGACTGTTGTTTATTTTAAAATATAGTTCAGTTTGTTTTGTTTTTTGTACGAAAATGATTTTCTGTAGTGGTAATATCTTTGAGAGATATTTTCTATTTCACTGGTTGAAATCATAAGTTACTTGAAGCTAGATCACCATGGAAAACTTGAAAGCACTGCACGGCCTTTTCGTCCAAGTACGAAACTCCTCAGCAGTGCGCACCCACTAGTTGGTTAGGTGCCTGGCGCGAGACTGATAGGTTCTGGGTTCGAATCTCGCGGGTTGCGGGATCGTGGATGCGCACTGCTGAGGAGTCCCATATTAGGACAAAACAGCCGTCCAGTGCTCCCAGGTTTTCCATGGTGATCTAGCTTCAGTTGACTTATGATCTCAACCAGTGAAATTTCTAAAATCCCCACAAAACCCCTTCTGATAATATTTCTATTGTTAAAATCCTAAGGATAACAATTCTATAAGGTGACATTACATACAGATTTTTCTGAATATGTCATGGAGATACATGTATTCAAATGCCACGAAAAAACTCAGCTCTTTGAAGATTGAAATTATTCATCTTTGATAAGTGTCAAGCTCCACAAAACACGGAATCTCAATGCTTTCAGTTAACATTAAGTGAAATAAAAATACGTTTAAGTAACCTACTTTTTAGCTAAGCATCATAGTTTGATCACAGTATTACTGTACATATACAAGGTTAAATATCTGTCATAGAACTGTGAAAGAAATAATAATTCTGGTAGAAAAATGTTTATCAAATAAATAAATCGAGTTGTTGTGCTAGAATGAAGCAACTTATAATTCTTCTATGTAAAATAACAAGGAAACTGGCTGATAAATAATGTTACTAAAGAGACAAGAAAAGGTTTGGATCTGTTATAATAATGAGAGGGGAAGAAGTTAACTAATTAGTTTATTGAAACCAATAAGACAATTGAAAGTCAACTGTCGACTCTTGCAGGACATAAACATCATTTTCGATCTACATAGTTCATATGATATCTGTATGAAATAAAATTTCAAGGACAGTACGTGATCACATTATACTGACGCTATGCTTACCCATGAATGTCACTTTAATAAATCTAGGTATGTGTTAGCGAGTTTGTTCATCGTAATATGATTTTTATGCTGTGTTCGCTTCTGACCACTGGCTGAGCGAAAGGAGAACTACATTTCAGACCTACAATCTTTAAGCTTTGTTCTCAGCTTTTATCTCCCTATTATCATATCATCGATTACCAGGTCACTAATACTACATAGGCGATCTATGCGAAATTATCAATGCGTGGAGAGGTAAATACGACTGCCATTCTGTAATTACGGCCCAATCACATGGGTTTCGATGAAATCTAAGTATATTAATTTGATTTGAATCGTTTGAATGATCTTGTTGTTGATATTTTGAGTGAAATTTAATCAATTATGGAATACAGATTCATTCGACTGATGAGTCTCGGGTAAGACGAATCATGGATCCCACTGCAAGCCACATTACATCTATTTTATATAAATCCAAGTATCTACTATTAGTCGAAGCTTAGAACGCTAGACGATCTTCAAAGTAGTTATATACATGGAGTAAAGAAATTATAACTAGGCTTTTGACTGATGAATCATGTCTCTCAATACTGTACAATTTGTATCCGTAACAATGTAATTTTCGCTTTTTTCTTTGTTATTATTTATAAAGAAATATTTTGGATTTTTATTTCACTAATTTTTAACACTCCAATATTGTATTTGAATAAATTGTTTGATTTTATTCTTCAAAATGTAGAAAATCCATTCAAAAAACTTGCACAATTGAAAAAGGTAAAATGTAGTGATGAACTTTCATCAGCTTTTCGTAAACCAAAAGCTCAAGCACTTGATTTACGACGTTTAGAACGAGGTGAGTTCAAGTGTTTCCATTTGTCATTTTTGCTTTATGTTTACACATCATTCATTTTTGTTGTGCTCGCACACACACATACATACATATGTGTAAACATTTGCAATTATTGTTGAAAAAAGTAAACAAACTATTTTGGAATAGTTGATTCTACTGAACAAAAGTTATCCCTTAGATACAATCTTCAAACTAGGTATATATAAAATCCTTGTGTTTGGATGACATGGCAAATCTAAAAGTATTTTCAATGCTTTGTTATCGTAATAGGTATTTAACTTCCCAAAAAGTCATTGAATTAATACAAGTATTCTCTCTGATTGTTTACTTATAAATCTCACGAGAAGTAATGCATTCCAAATTAAGTTATAAATATTCATACTGGATTATGAAGGCTTTTTTTAGTTCAAAATATGTATAAACTAAAACAGTGAGTATTATAGTAAAGTATGTAATGAAAAACGGTTTATGAAATCAGTAACAAATTTACAATTAGTTTATTTATATTAGATGATGAAAATATCACAGCTTCTAGATTGGATCGTAAAACCATCAGATTTAAATTTTCACTCGAACAATATTGTTTTCAATTGGTTCCCCATCAGGCTACAGCAGTGAAGAGAATATTTAGTGCAGTTAACCTCTGTCTGTTGTTCTCAACCCCAACTATGGTGACTTCTCAACTGAAGGATAGATTACCTGGTCCTATCTCTCGCATGAGCGTTGGTGAACAAGCTCTGCTGAGGAGTCCAATACTAGGATGAAATGGTCATACAGTGCTTACATGGTGGTTTAGCTTAGATCGACTCATGAATTCAACTATTAAAACATTTACGGGTATTTACGAATTCAGCTTCTGCGGAGAAAGCTGTATCTAGCGCACAACCAGACAGCTAAGCCAACCAGTTAGTGAACGCCTCCTTTGTGATTAAGAAAGGGTATCATCAAAACAATATGCAACTCCATTCTACCACACTCGATCGATAGTGGTTATGTAGTAGATAGAAATAGGTCATTCCAAGTGATTTACCGTATTCCGACTAGTTTTTCTCATGGGATTTGATCTCGTCTCGTACACATAGTAGAAGCTGTAAGGATTCGAACTAACAATCCGAATCTTTGTATTCATAAGAAATTTGTAACACCTTTGTCTCTTCCTTGACCGAATCAACTGCAATAGAAAAAAAATTTACTCCTTATTATTTTCTATTCTCTTTTTCCATTTGTTTTTCATCACTCACTGGGTTTTTTTTCATTTCTCAAGTATGCGCTTCATTGAACACTTCGTATTACATTATCTTAAAATTTTTATTAATGCTATTTCAGTGTCTAAATACTTCAAGTCACTGACCTATTTCTTATTGTGAAACATTGATTCAAGCCCTTGTTGATCCCATTACAACTAGTACACTTGTTATATGTTTATGTGTTGATTAGTTTAATAATTTCGTATATACATAGAAAAATTAGTGTGTGTTAGAATAAAGCCTGATGAGGATCCACTTCAAAACGGCATTATTCGCTCATCTATGTTGTTCTTATTCCCAATATGGGAATTTTCGAAATTTGGGTTTTTAGTTTGTTAACCTTTTAATGCATTAAATTATATTATCCGAGTCACACCATAAAATTTAAAGAACTTCGCTAGTACTTACAGGTGAAGAGTTGCAAAAACAACATCTGTCCAATGCTTCTTATTTCTTTTTTTTTTATTTTCACATGGTAACGTTAGTTATTTAGAAACATCGCTAGAAATTTTTCATGCATCTATTTTTTTAAGCACTTGAAGTTCGTGGTCGATCTGCTGCTGGTGTAGATGTTGAAGAAACAGAAAATCTCTATTCACGTGTTCAATCTCAATTACGTACTAATAGACGTTCTAGTGTACCACCAAGAACACCGCCACCTTCACAACCTCAATTACAGAATGTTCAACCAAATAATGTTCAGTATCAGAAACAAACAACAGCACCAAATACACAACAGTATCAGGCACAACAACAACAACACCAACAACAAAATTTCCAAGTAAATGGGCTTTTATTGATGATGATCTAACATTTTGAATACATGCGTGTTTTTGAGATATTACCACTATTGACTTATTAAGTTAGTCAAGTTTATATTTAATAATAGACTTTCAAAGAAAAATGGTAGTTGGTCTTTCAATTCACAAGAGCTGTCTGTACTTCTTTTCTTAACTTCGAGCGTGCAGAAGCGCAGTTACGGTAAAAAGATACGCTTACCTTTCTCCTAGGAATGACTTCAAAAGTTTACGTACTAGTTTTAAGCGAATACATATCCGTGTCTTCTGACAAGTCTTGGTAAACTAATGTATTTTAGAATTCCACCCATGTATGATTGTCAATTTATTAGGACGATCAGTGCGGAAGTATGACACGAAGAATTATTACTGATATTTTACTATAGAATTTTTGGATGCTTTTACTGTTGTGCGCTTATGTTATATTAAAAGCTTTTGTTTGACTCATATATCATCGTCATATATAACATTATTCCAGATTTATCACTACGTATTTATTCCTCTATAACTATGGTTTTCATGAAAACCATGAACCGAACAATGTTAGACTACCATTGAAACCTGGAAATACTGAACGGCCCACTCGTCCTAGGCAACGGAAGATGGTCGCGCGTCATCGCACATTGGTTGAAGTCAAACATTAACGCCAATCGATTTTGGTTCAGTAATCTAGAGGCCAGGCGTTCGCGCACTAGGCCGAAGGTGCTAGGCTCAAATCCCCCATACACAATGTGGGTGTGCACCGCTGAGTCTCACGTGCATTCCAATTCTCCCAGGTTTCCAATGGTGGTCTAAAATTGATCGGTTCATGGATTCAATGCAATTCAACAACCTCCACAACCCCAAACTAAAAACTATGGTTTTGTATCACATAACTAAGTCATACACACATCATATTTCCCTAAATATGTTTCTATGTGGTCTGATTATTGTAGTCCTATTCCTGTATGACTTTTCAGTCATGATTAAATTAATTATAACGAAGAATAGATCTGCTGTCCATCTTCGTCTTTCAATAAGCTATTGGGTTAAATAAAACTTAAGGAACGAAAATCTTTAAAGTCTTGCTTGTTGCTGATTGGTCGATGTGCCAACTGGTAGACAGGAGTTTATTAGCCCTACTGGCAATATAGGTGAACTGATCGATAACTGGATTAGCGCAAGAGAGAGATATGTTATACAATTTTTGCTTGTTATAGCTTTCGAGTTGAAAACATAACGTTGTTCGTATACTGATAAAAACACTTCTCATGTACTTTAGCCACCAGCAATGCAAAAACCAACGCCCGGACCTCAATTTCAAGCTCCGGTACCACCACCACAGCAGCAGCAGCAGCTGAATACAACAGTGATCAGGTTGAATGCAGCATCTGTAAGTGTTTGTTTGGTATAACGTAACAACTGATTAAGTGTTAAGAATACACTTCATTCAGTTCAGTTTGTAAACTTTTACATATTTGTGTTGTAAGCAATTAGAGAGCTTAAAAATTTCATTGTGCTATGGTCGTTTACTAGTTTAATACTTCAATAAATATTACATTATATTATATATTTGTATAGATTATAGTTATCAATTTTCCAAAAAGATGGACGACTGGTCTATTCACTGCAGTCTAATATTAAACTAACTGACGATGCACAACAAAAATATTCATTTTCTAAATGATACGTAGTAGATGATAATTTCAGTTTAGCTTACTTGGTAGTGTAACTTCGCGCTCATAATTCTTGGTCTATAAAGAATAATATACTTATTGATCACTCGACTAGACAGTTGGCAAAGCGTAGAAGATTAGTAAATGAAAATACCAAGAATAAGTAGATTGTTTATAAGGTGGTATTAGGATGTAGTTAACAGAGAACTCTGCTTCGCCTAGGCTTTGCGCTTTTGAAACTATCTTTGACAGAAGTGATAGTTCCTGGAGTATATGATTTAGTGTCAACCAGCTTCACGATCAAACCAGCTTACGACTGAGCTATTCAAACTGCTACCGATCTCCTGTAAGGTTGAGACTGTAAGACTGCTTTCTTTTTTATAGAATCAACGTCCGGACCAGCCTTCACCGCCTATACAAATGTTACAGCCATTAACAATTAGTCCACCTGGACAAACACAAACACCAGTTGAATCACCACGGAATGTTCCATCTCCTGCTAAGCCGACACCACCGCCGCCGCCACCACCACCATCTGTGGCACCTGTTGCTCAAAATGTGACATTGCCCCCACCACCGTCATCGCCTATAATGTCACCACCGATTGTGAATTCTGTAAGTTATTATATTATTAGTGTTTGATAACTTTCTCTTGCTTATAAATGTTGTCTGTTTGGTAACTATAAATACAGATGTCGATGCGTTAAAGTTTGAGGAGATGGTAGAATGTGCATAATTTAAATCATAAAATGAAAGTCTCTGGTTTGGTGCCTTGTAATGTATTGTTGCTTATCTGTACTTCCGGTGAGCCCCAATACTGAGGCGAAACAGTTTTCCAGTACTTTCTGGTTTTCAGTCTTGGTCTAATCAAGACCAGTTCGTTGTTGATAATGTAACGATTGCCGAAAATGTTTCCAGTTAATATTATCCAGTCACCTCTGGATACTAAAAATGAATAAATAACACTAAATCCATAGAAAGATTGTATTTTAGGCTTTCAGAATAAATTTTCGCTACCGTCTACAATTATTTTTCCTATTTATTTACATAAACTGGCAAAATGTATATGCTAAGAACAAGCACCAAATGAAAATTATGACACTAAGAGAGCTATTTTCGGGCGGAATAATTTTGCATACTTCTTGTGTATTGATTAGACAGTTGGATCATTGCTTTTCGCGTTACATTGATAATGAGTTTTCATTCTACTTAATAACTGTGTATTGATTGAAATTTATTGGTTATAATGTTTTATAATTAAGCGAGTATTTCAGACCTGAGTAATCTAAAGAACACAAGATGTTTGACCTGATCTTTGTGTTATTCTAACTGATGTTTTATCCAACATCATTGAATTTCGCCCTACCATTCCATCATTAGCAAACAATAAGCTATTAATTCAGAAGGAATACACAACAGTACCATATCTAAACCAAGATCCGTCTTGCTGTTGTACAGACAGCAGTGAGAAATAATAGCTGATTTAAGTTAATTAGGATATAACAATAATAACATACATAGATTTGTATAACTTCACGACAGTCTACATGGATGCTCAGCGATGAACACAGAACGTAAGTTTAAGCATTTCCTCGATAGCCCTTATGATTAATTCCTCAATGTCCAAACAAAAGTAAACTTCAGCTACTATTAACAGTCAAATCTTGTTTATTGTTATCGGCTTTATCCTTCATTTGGTCAAACTAAAAATATTTGTATTAAACATGTTGTGCTATATATTGATGAAATAGATGTTTTTTAATACTTCATGTCCAAGTGCTTAGTTTCTCATTCTCTTTTATATCAACCGCGACAACAGGAATCAGCGAATCGATTTCGACTGAATTTTAATTAAAAAATATTGTTGAAGTGTTGAACACTCTCAGAGATCAAGCTCGTTATTATCCCCAGAAAGTTCTATTACCTAGCAAAAAGTGAAAATGTTAAAAAGTTTTATTGTTAGACCGAAATACGGTTATCAAGGGTTAGCTACAATTGATATACATTTGCCTCATTGTCAGCATTACACATTATGATATTACGTATCCTGAATGATATTCTATACGTAATTCGGCTAGTATGCTTCTGTAAGGATGTCAATTCTATCATCAGAATAAAATAGTAGTGATTTGTTTATTAATGTGACTTAGCTGTTTGCTATTAATTGGAGTACTTACATCACATATAAAATGAGCTTATCAGACTGATGACGACATAGTGTAAACTGAATGAATACCCATAAGAAATCTCGTCATGAAATTAATAATTATCACATAACAATAAGGGTATCCTTATGTCGTATTCAACATGGACAGTTTAAGTATTTTGACAGATTCTTGTTGAAACTTTAAGGAATAGTTCATTTTCAAACGTGAATATAGAAAATTCATACAAAATTTATTGATCATAGTATTACAAGCAAGATATACACGAAGACTACTCAAGATTTACGTTTTTATTATTTTGGAGTGTCAAATTTATATATTTTTTTAAAACTCTTATATGAAAATAAGATGAAAACTACTACTGTGATGCGTGCTACTGATGATGACAGATCTAAGTAGTATGTGTTAGCAATCAAAAGTGGAATGCTTGGCGTCAGAAAGTGTAGAAAATCGAAGAGAAGAGAGCGAGAACAGAGAATGATCGATATGGAAACGAAGGAACAACAAAGTCTGAGACAGTTGATGGATATTTTCAGATTTTACCAAGAGATTCTATAATGTTGTATCAGAATACATTTGGTTGTCCTCACTTGTATTCTCGTTCACTACATTACTACTGCTAAAAAAAAACTGGATCAGTAGCTTTATCACCAAAAAACATTCGGCTTTCGATCATTTTACTCTAGTTTCCAATACTATTTTCCTCAACTTGGTTTAAGCAGAATTTTAGTATCACTATCGGTTATATAAACAGTTTGACTTGATGGTGAGTACGTAAATCCTGTGATCTGTAAATGATATACATTAATTTATAATGAACATTGATGATCAACTTACACACAATTTTCTTGTATCAATCAAGTCAGACTAATTCATAGATTTCATTAACACAGTAAGTTACTTAAAATAGATACACTTTATCTATAATAGTAGATTTTCTAAATTTATTTCTAGTTAGTTTCACTGATTGATATTATCATTTAGTAGAAAGTCATTTTAGGTAGTTTGTAAACTAACATAATTTATTATCTTATTATTCTTATTTGTGTGCATCCTTGACCTTTATATATTTCTCCATGAGTTTTACACTGATCATCTGTACAGATATACTTTAGTAGTTTTCATTGCATGTGTATGATGAACAGTATGAAGTGATTTCTTTCATTTTACACTCTTCCAATATAATTTATATTATAATAATGATCATGATCATTATCATTGTCATTATTATTATCCTCAACAATCGACTCCATCAAATCACATGAATACATATTTTACTTACTTACTTACATATGCCTGTTACTCCTAATGGAGCATAGGCCGCCGACCAGCATTCTCCAACCCACTCTGTCCTGGGCCTCCTTTTCTAGTTCCATCCAATTCTTGTTCATCTTTTTCATTTCTATTTCCGTTTCCCGACGTAATGTGTTCATTGATCTTCCTCTTTTCCTTTGGCCTTGAGGATTCCATGTGAGAGCTTGTCTTGTGACGCAGTTGGGTGCTTTCCTTAATGTGTGTCCTATCCACTTCCAGCGCTTCTTCCTGATTTCTTCCTTCGCTAGGATCTGGTTTGTTCTCTCCCACAGTACGTTGTTGCTAATAGTGTCCGGCCAACGGATCCAAAGTATTTTGCGTAGACAACTGTTAATAAACACCTGTATTATCTGGATGATGGCTTTCGTAGTTCTCCAGGTTTCTGCCCCATACGGTAGAACTATCGTGACATTTGTATTGAAAATCCTGACCTTGGTGTTGGTTGACAGTTGTTTTGAGTTCCAGATGTTCCTCAGTTGTAAATATGCTGCTCTTGCTTTGCCGATCCGCGCCTTCACATCTGCCATGTTCATCAATGATGCTGCCCAGATATGTAAAGGTTTTTACATTTTCAAAATCTTCTCCGTCAATTTTGATTGGATTGGTGCATGCTGTGTTGTATCGGAGAATCTTGCTTTTCCCTTTGTGTATATTGAGACCTACTGCTGCTGAGGCTGCTGCTACACTGGTCGTCTTCTCCTGCATTTGTTGTTGCGTTTGGGATAGAAGGGCCAGATCATCTGTGAAGTCTGAATCGTCCGCCTGGATTCCCTCCGGGGGCTACTGTCGGTCTCAAGATCGGATAAAGAAGGAGGGTTGGCGTCCCCATCCCGTAGAAAACTAACTCGATAAAAAAACGTTAACCAGAATTCATATTTTCCTATAGAATAATTCGACTTTTCTTTATACATGTACATTCGTCTGTCCATTTTCATCTTTCATACGTGTAGATCCTTCTATGCGTGTGTATGTTTGTGTGCATGTTAATGCTTGGTCATTTAAATGTTGTAGACTTAGACATTTTTATCGTAGCTATTTGTTATTATTTCTAATTATTCTTATTGTTTAGTAGTGGTTATAACTACTTTTAAATAATATGAATCGAGATAATTTCAAATAGATGCATTTTACGATTGTTGTTTCAATAACATATCTATCCATGCAAATGATTCGATGTAAAGGTAATTCTTTTTTATCATGGATCAGTATAAACTGAAGAGTCTTTGTTACTAAATTAGAATTCTAGTAAACTATAATCATTTGTTGACTACATGTATACTGATGTGAAATCTGAAATAATGATGAAACAACTCTCTATTATCCTTTATTCTACAATAGTTTCAAAGATGATGTCAGTCTGTAGAAACAGAATATTCTTCTCCTTATTTAGATAAAAAATAATAATCGAAAGTTTATTGACTGACAAAAAAGGTAGCCACTTTTTTAACAGAAGGGCCGATTAATCACTTTTTTTTTACAGAGTTCAACTCATTCAAGATACAAACAATAACTCGTTATGTGGTGTATCCTATTTATGTTGGCATATATGAGTAGTATGTAGCAACAATCAGAAGTGGAATATCTATCAGCAGGAGATTAAGAAGATTGAATTGAAAAGAACAATAGTAAATCGAGATCAATTGTAGTAAAGACTTAATCGAAAGAATCACAAAGCATGTTTAAGATAACTGAAAAATGTGCAAACAATGTATTTAATGCATGGTTTTCATATTTTAAGAAGATAATCTGTAATTTTGCATTGAATGAAAAAATGGTTTTCTCCACAATTACAGTGAACAGTAGAGCGAACCAAAAAATAAACGGAAGTAACCATTTATCTCACATAATCAGTTATCTTACCTGAAATGATTGGGAAATAACACTTGGTTAAGTATTGTTTCACTATATCAAAAAAGACGGCTGAGGATAAAAAAAGTGAATCGATCTCCCGTTAATGAAGTACATAAGATTTGTGTTGATAAGAATAATTATCATGTCGTATAGCTGGCGGTACATTACAAGTTATTTAGAGTTAAAATGTTCTTTTCTGTATTAAGAATAATCAACTGTACAGTGAATTATTTTCATTAAGCTCGTTACGGAGCTCAGGTATATAATGCTTCGAAACATGCATTTGGATGAATTAAAATAAATTTTACATAACTTCAGACTTATTTCCATCAATGAATTTTGTTTAGTTCTTGGAATCATTGTCAAAATATAGTTAATATAATCCATGATTGATATTTTATGACACTTTTGAATATCAAGAAAGATGTTAACTTCAGTTTTAATTAGTTGGCTTTGTACAGATGGTTAGAAATGCTAGAAGATTCCAATCAAACTAGAAATCATTTTGATTACAAGTTATTAGGAGTTCTAGACGCTTATGTCGAAAACCAACATGAAAGATGAAAAATACTTTAACAAGTTTATAGTAAAATTCATTGAATTTCACAATTTACTGTATATATTAGTAATAACAGTTTGTAGAGATTGTTTATTTGACTGACATAGCAATGAATGTGATATTTTTTAGTGTCAGAAGGGGTTTTGTAGATATTATAGTAATTTTAATAGTTTAGATCATGAGTCAATTGAAACTAGACCACTATGGAAAACCTGAAAGCACTGGACGGCCGTCTCGTCCTATTGTGGGACTCCTTAACAGTGCGCATCTTTATCTTTATCTTTAACAATAAGAGTTGATGGTATAACTATGAAGATTATAAAAAAAATAGACATGATGTTAAAACAACTGTAGTTTGAAATTATCATTATCACTAGTCACCGGATTAATGCACAATTTATAACAACTTCCCTCTTTGCAGTCCTCAAACTTGTTATCCAATAATATTTATACTTTTTAAATGGTACAATTGGTTATTATTATTATTACTTAAGGATAAATATAAGAGCCAATAATTTCTATAATGATTACCTTTGTTTGAAAAAAAATTTGACTGAATATTAGTAGTCACTCTATCTTTAGTTCAGACTAAAATTCGGACGTCTTTACAGCCAGCGATATTTTGGTTTATTTTTAGAATGCTATCTCTTTATATAATTGAGTAACAATGTGTACACCTAAATAGATTGAGCGCATGTTTTATTAATATTTGAACTAACCACTTTATTTTTGTTTTTAATGTTTATGATCATTTCTTCAAAATGTGGCTTTAGTAGTAAAGAGGAAAGCCACAGTCGTTTACATGACTGACTTCTAATTAGACATTAGATGAGTATATGTTGGAGGTTAGCATAATTTGATCGTGGTAAATCATTTATGTAATTACTATAGTTTGAGTTTTATTTCTAAAGGTTTGGACTAGTAACCCGTTGTTGATAATTTAACTGAATTTTGATCAGGTATAGCAAGAATATGTACATCCTGTTTGAATTGTCTTGATGAACACAATACTTTATAGGTTTTTATGGAATTAATGGAATATGGCTAGAAAAGGAGTCCATGACGAAAGTTTTATTCTATTTTAACACACATTAAACAGTCACATTTCATTTATTCTATATAAACATGTGATATTATGGCTTTATCAAGATGATCTACATAAAATGCACATATACCAACTAAGAATAATCAAAATTTAGTGAAAATGTCAACAACGAGATCATCTAAACCAGTACAAATTGAATCATAGTTCGTACCCATTGAAAAAGTCGTTTACCCTGATTCAGTAACCTATTAGATAATGCGTTGAACGTTTAAATTGAAGAGTACTAATTTTGAATCCTGGGTCGAACATTAACTGTAGGACGCAAGTGAATCCGAATGGAAAGTATCAAACATAACGAACTACGTATCTTGGATTCCACTGCCAGACACATTTTTCCTACTCTATTTTAATTATTATAGTTATCACTTAAAATGATATTTAATTGTTTTTTCAGATGATGCAATTCTCTGATCCTTCACCTACTCAAATGGCTTATTCTGATGCAGTCAGCGCAGATTTCACTATTCAACTTTAATATATTTTGTGACAAACACAAAATAATAAAATAAAACAGAACAAAACAAAATATATTAGTGAATTATCGATGTTTATCAATAATCAATAAAATATTTATATTGATTTTGAAAGAATTCTAACATTGTAATCTCAGATTACACTAATCTTCAATTTCATTTTACTCTTATCAACCAATAAGCTTTAACAAACAGACAAAATTAAATATATTCTCAGCAATTGCATTTGGCTTCATATATGTCTTACCCTTTCACAACTATCGCTATTATTATTACTATTATTATCATCATCATCATTATTATTATAACCGGGTGAATTCGCTTAAAGCACATAACCTGACATGACTCCATTAAAAAAGAGAAATACAAAAATGCAAAATCCATTACAAACCAAGATAGTTTACATTCAATTACACTTGCTGAATAACAACTAGACAATATATTGCATGCATATTCACTTAATTTATCGTTAACGGTTCTTTTTTTTTCTTTCTCTCCATCCGTCAATATAACAAAACGAAGTGTTACATTGTTTATTGATGACATTTAATGAATTCTAACTTTATATTTATCTATATCTTAGAGATGAAAGCATTCAAATAACCAACCAATCAACCATTCATTTAGTATAGTTCACAATGATTTATGCCCTAATCAGTGATTATTCAATTCTGTTATGTTTTGTGTATGTGCATACTTTCTTCTTATCACATTAAAAGAAATGAAGAATAATATTGTTTTCTCTTTTAATGGTTAAATGAAAGTAGATGTAAACATTAACGGCTTATTTTTTATTTCTATTACTAAACTAGACTTTAGATTCACATTTCGTCTAGAAAAAAAAAGAAAAGAAATAATCAGATGAAAATCTTTATTAGTTAAACTGTCTGTCTTTTTTTTTGTAAACTTCGTCTTAGTTACTATAGAAAACATGCATACATACTTACATACCAGAAAGAAAGAAAGAATCAGATACATGGGAAAACCTTGAATACAACCTTGACATTAGTTGGTATTAGTTTCTAGTTATTTAAATCTTCACTGTTACCTACCTTCATTTCCTGTTCCTTCAGCTATTCTGATGAATTAATTTAGTTAAACATTTTGTTTTCTTTAAAGCAAAATATAATACAATCCTACAATATGTTTATATTTACCTTTTAAATGATTATGGATGGAAATAATGGGATATGCATGTACGTAAGGAAGAAAATGGCAATACATTTTACATTGTATTCGATTATTGCTTTCAATTTACAAATCCTTTGTATGGTTTATTTGCAATGCTTTTTACCCTTAACCCTTATTCAATTAAAAATCAACAGTTTAGTTTTAAATATGGTTGATATTTCTTTTGAATGGATTCTTTGTTGTTTTAATATTTGGATATAAAGTTGTACGGTAAATAGGAAGAAAAAAATACTTTGAAGGTTGTTTCATAAAACATTTTTAAGGGGGTTTAGCAGCATTTATTCAATTAAAGAGTTATTTTTCATCGTGAACTGAAATGAGTTTATAAATCACTAAACATTAGGATGTAAATAGTAGTTGTTTTGTTGGAGATTATGTTTGAGAGCAGGAATCGATCAATGTTAGACCACCATTGAAAACCTGGGAGCACTGGATGGCCATTTCGTGCTAGTATGGGAATCTCCATCAGAGCGCATCCACGATCTCGCATGCGGGACTCATACATCTGATTTTTCTTGATTAGACTCAAAAGAAAAAATGAATGATTGGAGCTAACATTTAATGAACCGTTATTATGATTCTTAAAGTTTAGTGATGAAAATTTTTGATTGAAAATAAATTGATTGGCTAACTTGTTTTTAAAAATGTGTGCTTGCGTGTTTATTAACAAACCCAATCGGATATAATGTAATTAAGAACACTTTCGGTATCCATGACAACGTTCGAAACAATATAGCTAAAACTTTGTAAAGTTATCTACGTTCATAGTTTGGAGAAATGGTGATCAATCAAGGAATATTTATGTTTTACATCACTTTTTCAAGAACCAATAACCACTAATTAACATTTTGAAACTAATTATTTTCATTGGACTAAACGAGATGAAAAGAATTTTGTTAAGAATAATGTAGAAACAATCATGCAATAAACGATATTCAATGATCGGTTCAAGACGTCAATCAAACGAATCAATATTTCACTTGTCGATCGTGACTACAACGCATAAGGAATAAAAAAAATATGGTTGTATCCAAGCTAAGATATTAGAGTAGGAAAAAGAAATACGAGTGTCACGTTCAAATTACAATACTTTTGAAATATGCAAGGGAATACATCATCTTTGTTATTCCTTGTTCACATTTCTTCATAGAACTAGTACTTTAACAAAAATGCTTCATATGTATACAATTGTACAGCTTGATAATAAATTCATTGAAAAGAGATCCCTTCGCTGAATTTCGTGTTTTCAGTTTGGGAAGGACAGGAAGCTTGATGGCCTGTGTTAGTCCTGGCAATGATGGTCTCTCAGTTGATCCAACTTTCTTTTGAAAGAGTCGATGGATGTACCCTCAACCACGTGCTGAGGTAGTGGATTCCACACGTTCATGATTCGATGAGAAAGTCGATAGTCAGCTGGCAAGTAATTTGTTCTGGGCTTGTGAACTTTTTCGGAGTGTCCTCGTAAATTCTCTATTTTGGGAGACGACAAAAAATGAGGGCATATTAGGTGCGAATTTATCACTAAGCAATTTGAAAGCTGTAATCAAGTCTCCTCTAGTTCTACGATATGACAACAGGAAAAGGTTTAGCTTGGCCAGTCGAGCATCGTATGGAAGCTTCGCTATTCCGGGAATCAGTTTAGTTGCTTTTCTTTGAACCTTTTCCAGAAGCTCACTGTCTTTTTTAAGCAGAAACTAACCGCTTGTATTCAATACTCAAGTTTAGGGCGTACGAACAGTATAAATGACCAAAAGCCCTACGTATTGACCATAAGGTTCTAAAACCTTTGGCGGCTTTTGCACGGCAGTGTGCAGTAGTCTTTAGGTCTTGGCTAACGATGACTCCTAAGTCATTATATATCTGGACGACAGGTAGCTCAGTGTTATTCATCGTGTAAGTATCTGTACCTTGATGATCGATATGCATCACGACACACTTAGAAGTATTTATCGGCAACTGCCAGATTTGAGACCATTCAGATAATTCCTTCAGGTCATTTTGGAGTTCTAAGCTATCACTCGTACATCGTATCGTTCTCCGTATCTTGATATCGTCAGCATATAGCAAAACCGATGATGATAGGGGACGAGGAAGGTCATTTACATACAAGAGGAATAGCACTGGCCCCGAAACTGTACCCTGGGGGACTCCACTAAGCACAGTTCCCCAGCTAGATAACTTTGAGTTCACCCGTACTCTTTGTTGACGCCCAACTAAGAAGTCTTTTATCCACATAAATAGATTGCCTCTAATCCCGACATTTCTTAACTTAAATAAGAGAATATGACAATAATTTATGCATTACATCGAGCTTATGATTCATGCAATAAAACAGGCATAAAACTAAATTTTTATTGAGGTCATGAACTGATTACCATTGAAAAGCTGGATTTTCAATGATAGTTTAATATTGATCGGTTCATGATCTCAAAAGGCTCAATAATCTTCACAACGCTATACTGATAAAGTGAAATGCTAGTTTCATACAATCTTTCTGATCGGTACTCAGTTTATCAATTTATCTTAAGGATTACGTAATCAGAATATTAATATATCATTTCTAAATAGTTCTGATTTTATCCTCTTAGTTTTTATTCTGGAATATTCTTATTTACCACTTAAATTACCTCTTATAGTCCTTTCACATTTGTTTATTCGCTTTCATTAATCTTTACTAACGAGAACTTTCACTAATATTATGAATTAACTGTGTAAGCTGGTTTATAATGAATAATACTATAATGCCTAATTTTAATAGTTGAATTTATGAGTCAGTAGAAACTGGACCAGTATTGGAAAATCTGTAAACACTAGACGGCCATTTTGTGCCACTGCGGGACTCCTCAGCAACGCGCATCTACGATCTCGCCTCGTAAGATTTGAACGCAAGACCTATCGACCTCGTGCGCGGACTCACAACCTCGAAACCTCTGAACCAGCATCCAATGGTGTTAATGTCTATCTTTAACCAACCCAAGAATTCACGCCACCGTCCACCATTGTCATCAGTGAGTTACAATCTCTCAACATGCTTGGTTGAACTCCTCTATTAAAATTACTATAATATCCACAAACCCCTCTCTGATTATAATCATCATATGCTCACTAGTGACGGTCTCTAAGAGGTATTTTCTAGAGTTCTATTGAGAAGCCGTAACCAGTGGAGTTCAACCGGGTTTGTTGTGAAATAGTAACTCACTGATGACAATGGTGGATAATATTCACATAACCCTTTTCTGATTATAATGTTTAAGTTTTAAGAAACTGATAAGAAACGGTGAATTAATTTTATACTGCTAGTTTAATTGTTCTTACTTTTATGACCTTGAATGTTTGGCTTATTCTAACACGCGACTTATCGACCAATCAGAACACAACTTATATGATTTCGTACTATGTCAAACCAATGACGTTCAACCGGTATGAGCAGTTTAGCGTCCTTATTGGGCCTATGTCCTCCTACCCTTCCACTCGAGCCCAGAACACAATACCAGCTTCTGTAATATGAATCGAATCGTTTATTTAAGACATACTCGGTTTATATATCAATCAGACAGACCACAACGTACCATCAAATAGAAAATAACATGTGTACACAAACAAGCCAAAAAGTGGTTGTGAACGAGGGGGGCAGTAATTAATAGGCTGAGCATAGCTTAAGAACCGTAAATTGTACAATAATAAATTATAGGTCAAAATAAAGCTTATAATAAGAGGAATATAAATATACATAATCTAATTATTCAATAGTTTTACAATAAGAATATTTATAGAATATTAGTCCCTTATTAGTCCTCGGAAGTTACTTGTAATTTAATCTTCGCTCGGATATAACACTTACTTTACTCAAACTAAATGTTAATATTTGATGAATTTTGCAATAAATAAGAAAATATCGTAAAATATAGCTTTCATTGTTTGGCATTGCTTCATTATTTTTCACTTCACATCACTACTGAATGATAGTAAAAGCTGGAAATACTACAGATTATTAGAATATAAATTCTTATCTATTGTTTATGTGTTGTTAAACATGAAAGTGTATCATGAGAATATATAAAATAACTCTACACTTATGAAGTACTAAGACAATGGGGAAAACTAAACGTCGACCAAGGGACATGTTCAGATGATCGTCCAAAAAATGTCCTATCTTATGTTAGTAATGGTTTAATGTTCTAATGAATAGTTACCTATGTAATACTGTCGATTTGTTTACTGAATAGGTTTTTTTCTCACTATTATTTTCTTTTCCTTCAAGTAGTCGGTTAAATTTGTATACAATAAGATTAAGTATCATTATCAATTATCGGTTATCGTATGTTATAGTAAACACATTCTATCAACCATTTTATTTTGTCCCAATAATTTAAACTATAAGCATTTATGTTATTCTTAATGTAAATATTAGGACTATAAACTGCAATTATATTTGGCGCCATTAGATGGATGATTATTATCAACAAAATGTTGGATAAATATGAACTTTTAATAACAGGTTAATGAAATACAATAAAGTGATCTAACTGCATTGTTCAGAGTCTTATTCTTTTTCTTAATAGCTTTATTCAATATTCTATTTTTGGTACAATATAGGATTCTCAGCACGAAGTATTTTAACAAGTTTCTGTTTTTTTTTACTTCTTGGTTGATACTGACGATAAATATTGAATGATCGCCAATTAGATGTTAACAGTTCAGTAAATAGACATCGAAATAATGTATATTCTTTTCATTGCATATTGTCAGCAACCACGATATCTCTGATTGTACCTTTTATAACTTGTACAACGAATGGTTGTACAGTTTTCAGAAACGTAACTGAATAGGTTATGCAATTAATAGATATAATAGTGTAATAAAATAAACAAAAATAGATAACTTGTTAAAATATTTACATGGCATGAACAGGTCGCTCAGTTGTTTAAGCAGGCCGCCAAGTTGTTTCTAATGTTATGTGGTTATCATAGTGGTACATTTCTAATTATTTTCATAAACTGAAATGAATGAATGTTAATTTGTATTTGTATCCACAAATCATTAGATCAGTGTTCATTACTGAAATTATCTCCGAGCTTATTTCCTTAAATTCCCTCATTTTTTATAGTCATATTTCCAATAATTTCTTTTCTGTATTAAAACCTTTATAATTTGATAAATCTCTTTAAAATACAATTATATGAACGAAGAATATTCTTTTCGATAATTTCTCATGAGGTTCTACAATCACAAGTAGTCTCTCTTTATTATTAGATAACAAAGTAAATCAGAAAATTAAGTAATTTCAGTACTTGAGATCATGAGTCAACTGAAGCTAGAGAATGGTGGACGTATCGCTCAATTTCGTTGCTTAGTTGAATTTAGACATTACCACCGTTGGATGCCGGCTCAGTGATCTAGAGATTAGGCATCCGCGCGCAAGACCGATAGTTCCTGGGTTCGAATCTTGCGGAGCGGGACCATGGATGAGCACTACTGAGGAGTCACACATTAAGATGAAACGGCTGTCCAGTGCTTCCAAGTTCTTCATGATGGTCTAGTTTCAACTGACTCATGATCTCAACTATTGAAATTACCATAATATCTACAAAAACCGCTTCTGACAGACAGTTAAGTGTCCATTTTTTTTACTGATTGTG